CTCTACCCGCCTCTCTGAGAAACTCGACAATGAGGAGAAACCATGGCTCAACGAGCGCGACTCGCGGACCCGCGCATCCTGGTGGCTCACCTTTGCATGTCTTATCTTGGGCATCGCTGGTGCGGCGTTGCTGTGTTGGACAGGTATCACAAGCATCAAGCAACGAATGCTCATTGAAAGTGACCTTTGTCTCGTCCTTGATGAGCAATGGGCCCAGGGTCTGGACACCAATCGCTGGAAACGCGAGGTCGAGCTAGGTGGCTTTGGGTGAGTTTTTTTCAATGCCCATGTATTGTCCTAACTAGGTCTGGTAGGAATGGCGAATTCGAGATGACTACTGCATCTGATAAGAATCTCTACGTCCAGGACGGTCAACTTTATATATTTCCGACCCTCACCAGCGAAGACGTCCCAGATCTCATGACCGACGGCAAGACCTATAAATTGCCAGGATGCACAGGAACAGACGTCGCCCCTCCACCGCCCCCGACAAATACTACGGGCGGGCGCAACTCGACTACGGGGCATGGCCGGAATACTACTACTGGAGGAGGAAATGCCAACGCCAGCGGAAATGCAAATACTGGCGGAACTGGACGTGGTGCGACCAACAATGGCAACAATAACGGTGGCGGCGATACTGGAAACGTGAAACGCTGGTTGAACCAACATCACGCGAAGCGAGGTGCAGGTGGTGGCACTGCCGGTGGTGGCCCCAGCCGGAGCGGTAATACCTCTTCATGCTCTGCGGCCACCTCTAACTCGCTCGGAACCGTCATAAACCCCGTCATGAGTGCCCGTATCAGCACTCGGGGAAGTGCGAGCATCAAGTTTGGCAGGGTAGAGGTAAAGGCCAAAGTGCCGCGGGGGTCAGTTGCCCTTTCTTGATGTGTTGGTGTGTTTTATATATTTTCTCTGATAGAGACTGGCTCTGGCCCGCTGTGTGGATGCTCCCTGAGGAGAGCGTGTATGGCCCATGGCCTCTCAGTGGTGAGATGGATGTAAGTCTAAAAAGCACTCTCAAGAACTGGGCTCATTAACACTTTACTTGTAGATTTTGGAGGCAAGGGGAAACGCCCCATCGTATGGTGCCCAGGGCACCAACTATGTCCGGTCGTCCCTAAATTACGGGCTCGCCAGCGATCTTACTCCCATCGTACAAATTGACGGGAAAACGAATGGTACGACCTTCCCACCCTGCTGATATAGCATACATAAGTTAGTATTAGGACTGTCTCTGACGAAGCAGCTCTATGGCTGGTTTTCACTCAAGCGCTCGTCATTCGATCGCGGATTCCACACGTATGCCGTTGAGTGGGACGAGCGTTTCGTCAGGTTTTACGTTGACGATCGCGTCAAGACGACCCTGGAAGTCGGAATACAGGGCAAGGGCGGAAAGGGATTCTGGGAGCGGGGAAAGTGAGTGTTGTGTCTTGCTTGGGTTGGATTGTTGCCTGACTCCGTGGTAGCTTTCCTCCCACGGCACAAAATGGGAGCGACGCTGCTGTGGTGGTGAATAATCCTTGGGAGGGCAGGGGTCCTGCCGCACCATTTGACCAACGTATGCCTTTCGTAATTCAACTATTTCGGGTATATTGATTCAGATTAATCCTACACAGGCTTCTACCTTATTATCAATCTCTCCGTCGGGGGCACATCTGGGTGGTTCCCTGACCAAATAGGCGATAAACCATGGCACGATGCTTCACAGAGTACGTATCATAGTGGATTTTTTTTTTTTGCAGGCATTCATGTATGATCTTGTAGCCGCTATGAGGGATTTTGCAAAAGCGCAGGACAAGTGGTACAGTACCTGGCCAGAGAGTCCCCAGGACCGGGCGTTTAGGATGTGAGTTTCTCCCCGTTGGTTTTGTTAACGTTGTTGATGTTGGTATAGCGATTCTGTCAAGATGTGGAGCAAGGAGTGCTGAGTGCTGCCGAACAACTCGGACAACACAACAAGGAAACTATTATTTTCTACGAACCGCTTTAGATATTGTTGACAAAGGCAGATTTGTGTTGCCCTTGACGATACCCATTTACTGTCCTTGTTTTCTTGTTGTTTTTTAAGGATTTAATTGCCCTCTTGTCTTGGACGCTGCTTGTTATAGATTCTAAAATAGATACAGCATTCTTGTACCTGACGTTGTGGACATAATACACTGTCGTTTTCCCTCCCACCCCGTTGGTGTAGCCTGTCGATGCGATGGATACTGTCTTTTGGATCAAGACTTTCAACTTCCATCTGGAGCTAATTTATCTGCATGGATACCAGTAGTAGCTTCGGGGACAGCTCGTCCTGCAAAAGAACGAATCGCTTATCATGAATATAGAACAGAAAATACTAGACTTGTTCAAGGCTAGTCGCCACTTGTAACCTCGGAGTTTTACATAGTCCCTCTATCTCCTCCTCAACTTCGAAAGACCTGGACTCGAACATGACTGATACAAGATATGGAATAAATCTAAAAGAACCGTCTTAGCCGTACCCGAACTTGATGTAGGGGAGACGGTCAGAGACGGAGACAAAAGGCTGATGGTGGCGGCAGGGACGTTTAATTTACGGTAGATGCGTCTAGTGGACGGCGTCGGATCGTGATAGATTTACAACCTCAAATCACACACGGTGATAGAAAGCGGAAGCACGATATTTACTCATCCAGGAACGAAAAAAAGAAGCATTATACTTTTTTTAGACCCCCCTCGAGGACAATTGCGGCGTCGATGTAAGGTAAGGTAGGACCCCGAAAGCTTCATCGCTGGGCCTACTACGCGAGGTTGACGGGTGCTGAGCCTAAGATAGGGTGTGCGTTCACAGGTTCGGCGGGTGTGGTGTCAGATGGAATGGAATAGAGCAGAATGGGTTCTTCGGCGGGTGTGGTACTAAGAAGCCGACAGCCACGGTTAGGCGAGAGTGAGGGGCCTCGAGGACTCTTGCATGTTAGAAAATTCGTGATTGTTAGACGTTAGGCGTGAAAAGAGGTTAGAATATAGTTAATAGTACATCCTTGGTACAGTTCACAGGAGAACCAGACGAGACAGCCTTCATAGCTCGGGAGGGACTGGAAGTTTGTATGGCTTCTGGGTTCATTTTTGTTTAGGAGTAAGGCTTCGTTCGTGATCGGGAGATGACCGGGGTACCTTCTTGATACTGACCGAATTCTTTGAAGCGCAGGAGCGTCAAAGGCGGGACTGCGCTGTTGGTGTGTAGATGACATGTAAAATATTCGGAGGCGTAATAGGAGCAACTGGCCCTGTGTGGCATCTTTGCACAGTAACCTGAAAGTTCATTGTAGTGTTGGTAGTGTATACATTATCGAATGCTTATCCTCAGTTGTACAGGGTGTCTTTTCCTCGTGGGAATAGGGCAGGAGACGTCGAGAAGCCAAAACATTACGAAACTATCTGAAAACACTTGAGTTTAGGAGAAAACAAACAAACGGGACTCGGGCTATGGCGTGCCCAATTGATTGCGGTTATGGGCTATCCTTAAGGTTGAACCAATTCCACCATTAGTCGGGGCTCCAAGTAAACCGAGTAGATTTTCCTGAAGAAAAGTTCAGAGAATTTTGAAGGAAGAAAAATTAAAACGTCCGAGATTGAGTTTGTCGAGTGCCCCGCATTCCCTAACCAGTGAATCAAATTAAACATTATGGGTCCGCCGGTGCAGTAAAAGAATGTGTTGGGAGGAAGTGTAGTTGAGTCCTAGCCAAAGACTCATGAGGCACAAACAGGTTACAGAGGCCAAAAACAGGGCGGAAGGTGATTGAGGCAATTATTCCCACGATTACCATTGACATACCAGGCTTGCTTCATTACCGTAATTCAAGTTTGCAATATTCATTAACGATGTCTTCTCGCCCTTTGAACGATGAGGAGGTCCTCAACCAAATGAACAAGATGGTGCGAGATTAACTCTTCCTCTAGTATATGCCATTAACTCAAGTATCATCTGTAAGGTTGCCTTTATCAAGCAGGAAGCACTTGAGAAGGCTCGTGAGATCAGGGTAAAGGCCGACGAAGAATTCGCAATAGAGAAAGTGTGTAGACTTGTCTTATATACTGTTTGGCCCCAACTAAGTCCACGACATTCAGGCCAAGCTAGTTAAACAGGAACAGCTCGCTATTGATGCACAACACGAGAAGAGGCGTAAGGGCGTTGAAGTAGCACAAAAGATGTATGGCCATTGTTCTGACCGAACCCTGACTAGCTGATAAGCGACTACAGCGCGCAATCGACACTGACGAACAAATCTCGCCTGAAACTACTGCATCGGCGCGAGGAGCACCTGCAAGATCTCTTCTCCACATCGCGATCATCCATTCTCAGCCTGGCGACCGATGAAGGGCGTTACGTCCAGTTTCTCGAGGGCGTCATTATTCAAGCATATCTTCAAATTCTCGAGCCTTCTGTTACAGTACATTCACGAAAACAAGATGTAGATGTGGTTAGCCGAGCATCAGAAAGCGCAGCCACATTGTACAAAGAAATCAGTGGGAGAGATGTTGAGTTCGAGGTCCAGGGAACACTCAGTGATGAGGGGTGAGCAGAGCCGTTCACCATAAACTGTTTACTGAAACCTTATTTTCTTAAGTGCTGGCGGGGTAAAACTGATCAGTGGCACACGCCGCATAACACTAGATAATACATTAGATGAACGCCTGAGATTATTGGAAGATAGAGTATGTTCAAATCGGTCTCGTTGCCTGTTCTCAGAAACTGATGAACCTGTTAGATGCTACCTGAGATCAGGAAGGATCTTTTTGGAGCAAATGAAAACCGCAAATTCTACACGTAACCTAACCAGATTTAAACTTCATGACGGACGCATACCATTACGAATCTGAGTCATCCTACATAGTGTAATTTTTATGCCCACCGGGCCAGGCCGACTCTAAGCTAATAACCAGTGATTATGATATAAGGGCCTAGACATAATTGGTGAAAATAGTATCGAATCTCTTATGTAAGTGTGACGCAGACGCAGAGAAAAATATTATGCATTAAGAGGGAATCGAACCCCCGGCGGGTCGAGTTAATCAAATGATGTGGCAACGACCCAGGTTACCACTACCCCATTAATGCTTAGAAAAATCAATTAATATCACTTCATATAAAGCCTGATATGACTTTTTTCAGAACATATACATCATGAAATCCAAAGGTTTCTGATAGGCTCTGAAAAGTACTTATAATGAATGTTAAACCCAATATATGCATAGGTGAGATTGGAGAAAGCCAGCAGCCATGTCAAGTTGGTGATGATGATAATAAACAACTTTTTTTATTTTGTTGAAAAGGACTGCATGTGACATACAAGTTGTCCTATCCCTATTCCCTTTTTTCTTTTCTTTCTTTGATTCTACATTTTATATACCTGATAAAGGAGAGGATGCTGGGCTGCTCATGGTAGAATTAGAGGATATTTTAGATGGGTCAGTACCTTTGGACCCAAGCCATGCAGGAGGGAATTCACTCACATGGTACAAGAAGCTCTGTGAACAACCAACCATAAGAAGTGGGTAGACCCTTGGACCAAGCATGATCACACTGAAGCTTGTAATGCAGGTTTCAACAAACAAATGAGTGGGATTGTTAAGCTAGATGCTTCTAACTGTCATTCAAGGCTAAGTCTAAGTGCTTGCGTTATGTAAGCTCTTCAGTTAAGGCATAAATTGGTGACTCCCTTCTTTAAGGTAGAGTCTGTTCTGGTTTGGATAAGACACTCTACTCCCTTTCCTAGACAAGTGAGACTAAGTTTGTGGAAAGATCAAAAGAGACTTGTTAAGTGTATATTAGCTAGGTCAATGTAAGGGGATCTCTCGTTGAATCCTATTTTAGTTGTACAGACAATCATTGCTCTATCACAGGTAGTACCTTATGCCTAGTGTCTGCCTTGGGAAACCTCAGCATACCCTCTACATCCATATGACCTATGTCTTACCCCCTTTTGCAGATATTCTTTCCATAGTTACTCCATAGATAGTCCTACAATGTAGTATATAAGTCTTGCCTTCCACCTAGTGGTTGGCATCTTTGCAATAAACTAGGATTGGGTCTTCTCTCTAGACACAGTCCCCTGAGTTGGCAGTGCCCCCTTCCCTGCTGTTATGGTTTCCCTTTTTCCTTTGTTATCTTATCTTATCTTGTATTATCCAACCTTCGGACTATCTCTTTTCCCTTATATCTTCTTACTCCTTGTTCCATTCCCACCACTCCTATTATTACATCCACTTTTCACATTGTTACTCAGCACTCCATTTATAACCACCAATAGCGCTTATCCCTCACCAAAGCATTACTCATCATGCTTCCTTTAGACTCATATATATACCATGCAATGTAGTGGATAGTCCTCAGCTTGACCTAGCTGAATATACCTTATTCTCTACAACTCGACGCTCAGCTCGATCCTACTTGCCTTAGAAGGGGGTAGTGCATCTCAGATCCAGAAGACAGACTCGTCCTTTATATCAGGAAGTCTATAGACGTCAGACTTATTGTTGACGGTCTTATCGAACCGATTGATTAGGTCTTGATCTAGAGGATAAGATCCAACAGCCGTAACACCTGCCTGGTTGGATCTTGTTATGGTTTCTCTTTTCCTTTCATTATCTTATCTTATCCTATATTATCTAACCTTTGGACTATCTCTTTCCCCCATATCTTCTTTCCTTCCATTCCATTCCCACCGATCCTATTATTACATCTAACTTTCCCATTATTATTCAGCGCTTCATTTATAACTACCAATAGTGCTTATCCCTCTCAGAAGCATTACTCATCATGCTTCTTTTATAACTTATATATATACCATACAATGTAGTAGATAGTCCTCAGCTTGACCTAGCTGAATATACCTTATTCTCTACAACTCGACGCTCAGCTCGATCCTACTCGCCTTAGAAGGGGGTAGTGCATCTCAGATCCAGAAGACAGACTCGTCCTTTATATCAGGAAGTCTATAGACGTCAGACTTATTGTTGACGGTCTTATCGAACCGATTGATTAGGTCTTGATCTAGAGGATAAGACCCAACAGCCATAACAGATCTCACCTTGTACATTACTCTCTCTGTTTACTTCTCACACACACCTCACATTGTGTGTGCACATATCACATTATTGTACTAACTCTATTGTATGACCCTGAACAACATGGCATCATCACCTAAACTGTTAGAGTACACTATGCCTCGACTTTGTTTGTAATTATTGTGTCTTCACTTGTCAACTTATAAAGAAATACAAGGGCATGAACCACAGTGATGGGAGGCAAAAAAGAATGGGTGATTTAGAAAAAGTCTATAATTTTGGGACTGTGAGGAATAACAGCTGGAAGAATGTCCAAGAAATGGGCATTCAAGCTGCAGATTACCACTTGATTTAAATATGACATGTGTGTGGAACTTCGTCACACATTAGGGATTCAATTATATTGGATTACAATGGAAAAATCTGCCAGTTGAGGATTTGAGCCTAGAAATGTAATATGTAGGCTCTCTGTGTATTTGATCAACATTACATAGATAAAATGTATTCCGATAAAGGATTGAGGAGGGGATATATGTGATTTCAAGATATCAAGATTTGTACAAGACTCTGGCAGTATGGTACAAAATACATAACATCTAGAATAGTCTGAGAATCCAGTTTTTAAGGAGGGTTGCCCAGTACTGTGAAGGGGATATAAGTGGTATACACCTGGGATCCAGCATGGTGGACTGTACCCAAGGTTTTCTATGCTTTGCAGGTGGCAGTGGTGTTCCTATAGAAAGTGGGTTTGCCACTGGGATGTAGGGACTGACTGGCAGTGTGAATGTTGGTGTTAGCGTTGGGTGGGTGATAGGGCTGGCTGGGGTGTTGTCTGTATTTTCTTTGGGTATGCTAGGCTAGTGAGAAGTTAAAAGTTTTATTGATTTTGTTGTATTATTTGCTCACTAATTGGGACAAAATGATCTGAACGGCATGCCCTTCATGTTGTCAACATGTGGGGTTAGTAGAGAGAGCTTGACTGTGCAGAACATTGTGGAAAAAATATGTATTTGTGACGTTCACATCACATTCCAGGCTTTGCACTTGTTTTTGGGGTAAGGAGTATCTTTGTATGCCTAATTTCAGAACACAGAGCATACACTTGTGGCCCCTTAATTGGGCTATGCTCTTGGTAGCAGTACTTTGTCTAAAAAATTTAACTCCTGCCAGCAGAATTGCGGCTGTCTCAACAAAGTACAGCCTAAAAATCACCAAAATGATTATCTTCCCCATTTTCCCCCTTGCCATTGTTGGGTCCAAAGTAAGGCTCATAATCACTGCCTTCATCAGTAGTGTTGCAGCTATAATCTGAGTCTTCTATGTTTGATGTATTCTCTGAGCCTGAGCCAATATCATTATCTGACTCAGCAGGGAGAGTGGTAGCTTTAAGTGCCATCTGGCAGAGCTCCTGTAGTTGAGTGTCTGGATTAGTTATTATCCACTCTTCCATCTGTGTACCATCTTCAGGGTCTGATACAATATTTGTGGTATCATTGTGAAGGTTCTGTTGGTGTTCTGGGGTCTGTGTCACATCCTGATTTTGATGACCTATGGCACCACCCAAGTAGCACATGAACATATCCCAATCTACCCAGCTGAAAGGCATAGTTAAGCAAACAGTGAATGGTGCAGAGGGACGTCAACTCACATAATTACGAGTTCTTTAGTTTACTAAAGACTTGTTCTCTATAATTCCAGGTTTCGAGATTTGAGACTGATTCATTGATTAATTGATTCATATCACATTACTGCACAAACTTTTCTTAAGGCATGTGACTACTATTTTCCTTAAGGATATGCAATGCAAATGCACCACACTGGCTACTCTGCTCCACATTGCATCATCACTCCATAATCTATTAATTACTCCACAATCATATCTTATCTAGATTAGATAACACCAGACTCACAAAGCGGTGCTAATCATGTGTTTATATCATGTGAATTGAGGGTCACATGGCATCTTGTGTTATGTAATTTAAATAATTGTGTAAATGCATAAATAATTGTCCAATGGCTTGGTGGTTGGCTGGATTACATAATGCAAGGCCAAACATGGCACACACTGAAAATATGGAAAATGTACACTTTCCGTATTTTCAGTG